TGGTCAATAGTTACAGGTTTTATTCCTGTAAGCGTTTAGGTTGTCAAAGGCAAGTTATACTTTGTACTTTCTCAATGTTTTTCTAGATTTAAACTTTTTCCTGACCTGACCATTGGATCTTGTGATCCAGTTGTGGCAGCATTGAGAACTAATAGCAAATCATTGCCTCCCTTTCTCTGATTCTTTGTGTGGTATTTCTCACTCAAAGTGTTGCAATGTTGCTTGTTTGATGTCCAAACCAGTCATGTATAACAATAGTTTGACCCAAAACAACAGAATTCCAATCGCCATGAAAAAAACTGAAGGTAAACATCTTTGGCATTTCCATTAAAAAAAGGAACTACTGATTGATGACTGAAATCTTTAAACTCATATGACCTAATATTGTATTTCAGCTATAAATAAACACAAATAACACAATTGCAACCACAGGGAAACACAATTATTATTTGATTGATAAAAACAAAATCATTTTGAAAGAGATGCCCTTAGACACCTGACAAACTACTGTTTTTATCATTTTCTTTTAATCCATTACAGTGATTCACCAGTAGTACAGAATGCAGATCCTCAAGTGAGTGAAAAAAATTGTTAAAAAAATAAAATAATAATAATAATAATAATAATAATAATAATAATAATAATAATAATAATAATAATAATAATAATAATAATAATAATAATTCAAATTAAAATAAAGAAAAAAGAAACTTATCATGACCTGTTGATTCCATTTGAGTTTTTAGACAGCACACATGGAACAGCAGTGGAGAATATACAGCCATGACTAAGCCAGGGGGCCCAGCGGATATAATGTCAACACTTAACTGATATGATAAAACAAATCAATGTGTAGAGTAGAAACTTCCTATGAGCCCTCACACCAAAGGCTCACCAGTGTTAAATCTACACAAACCCTACATCTCTATTCCTTCTGCTGGATTTTCCTGAAGAGGCATGAAATAAAAATGACCTTGATGACACATTTCTTCGAAAGGCTACTTCCCGGGAAAAGCATCCAATGAATGTTTTATGCCGCGGCTCTAAATGTGCATATCCTGGGGTATTTTTTTCCTGTCACTTCAGTGCTCCGTCACTCCTGACAGGTTCATTGGCTTATAGCACGTGGCCAAGCGTTAAAGGGCTGCTCCGCTTCCAGCCTCTGGATGGTGGGAGCCGCTGGATGTTGGAGTCTCCAAGCAGGAACCAAAACCAAAATCCAAAAGAAATCCAGCTGTTATCCTCGACACCTAGACAGCAAAGAACTGTCACCAGCAGGTAACTGGCTTCTTCTTTAGTGTATAGACATGTTGCATTTTATTTACGTCCAGAAATGTTGTGTCTACGTAAAACTCTGGAGGGGAAAAAAGACGATTCTTTTACTTAACTTTCCATAGCCAAGATACCACAGTGGAATATTTCCATTAACAAATAAAACGTGGACATGTAGATATTATTCATTTAGTGCAGTGTGGAAGAGCAAAGGGAAAATAAGGCAGAAAAACGTTGAATAGCTCAAAACTACTCATGTTCTTTTTTCTCGCTCTGTTGGCCACACACAGTGGTTGACATAGCAAATAGCAGTAACAGCACTACATATGTATCAGAATTCAACACAAAAAAACATGCAAACATTTCCACATAAAGAACATAACATTCATTATTCCATTCATAACATTCAAAAATACCCCAGGATATGCACATTTAGAGCCGCGGCATAAAACATTCAAAAATCAAAAATCCTTTGGTCTGTCTCATTACAGTTTTGTACTTTCAGGCTTGATGTTTATTTTGCGATTATTAATAAATGATTGCCATGGTAGATTAACTAACTAATTTAATCCCCTGCTTTACTGATTATCTGTCAGATTTAGTGTGTAAGTCTCCTTTTGTTTTACTGAACCTAAACACACCAAATCCCACACCGATCTACGAGTTAAATGTTGTCAAAGTCAAGCTAGCATAACTGACCTACTTTTCTCTCCCTTGCTATCTTTAAGTAACTCTTTTTCCTGACTTTGTTATCCATAGTTTTGACAATTAGCAAAACACCAGGTATTTTTTAAATACAACCTGTACATTAAATATTTAGAGCATTATGTTGACACTAAAACCAATGGTAGTCATGGTCAGCAAGCAGTTTTTGTGCCAGTGACATTACACTGCAATGTGTCTCTCCTGGTCATAACACGCATTTCTAACTTCAACTTGAAAACAAATATTTTGTCATCGACTAGGTCAGCTGAGACTTTGTTAATGTTCCTAAACATAGCTAAAAGCAACAATGCAAACCAGTGCAACATCTCTATTGCTGTATGCAAAATTACTGAAAGACAAAACTTGCACAGACCTGAGAGAAACTGCTGTATTTACACTCACGGTTATCAAATCCTGGAATCGCAATGCAGTTTGCTAATCAAACCAGTTACACAATCAACCCTCTTCTGCTCCCTATCATCACTTACAAAAAAAATAAAATGATCAGATGTCAGTAATGTTTTCTTGATGCTGCACTATTGAGTGAGAAACTAGGACCGAGAGGAGGATTACTCCGAGTAGCTTACTCCTTGTAGGATGAAGCAATTCTCATTTTGCCTCTTCTTGTACAGCCCTTTAGAATAAGTTCCACTCTTGTCAAGTCAGATTACAAGTGTGGAAGCGATCACTGAGAGCATCACTGGAGCTGCTCCTTTGGTCTGTCTCATGCAGGCCTATATACATCAACAGACCGATGCTCATGAATAGTGCATACTGCCTCATTATTCCCCCGATTTTAAATCTCTAACAAATTACAGCATTAAACAAAGTGTTACTAACAAAAATTAGTGTAATAATATAAAGACATTTTGGCAGATTTTAATAAAAAATTCTGAGAGTAGATAACAGTGAGTTCAAATGCCAATGCACTGAATGCCAACCACTTATTTTATATACATTATAAACTAAATTTGTTCAATTCAAATTGATCAAGTAGGCCTGTTATAATAACAAATTTTGCTGGATGATGCATTTTTATGCCAATGAAAAATCAAAAAATATTTTAATTTCTAAAGAATTTTTGAGATTGTAATTGGAAAACATTTTAAATATACAAAAGAAAACAAAACAAATGAAACAGCAATAATTAAAATCGATTATGAAGTCTCTGTAACCAAAACTGTATTTAAAAAAATAATAGTAATTCAGCATAGGCAGAGAAAACAGTCTAAAGAGGCAGGCGGTGCAGGCCACTTTGCACTGGGTGTCAAATGTTTTCAAGGATATTAAAAGGGAGCATCTAAATGGACAGCAATCATCAATGAGATGCATTATTTAACATGGAATTAATTGATTTATTGCTTTTTTTTGATAGGCTTACTATTAAGATAATTTTGATAATCTAGTTTGTTGTCAAAGTTTGGAAAAAAAAAAAACACCTAAAAGTAAACCAGTTAAAGAAGAAAATTATTAATTCGGAAGCATACAATTTTACTGAAATAGTAGCAAACTCTTTAAATCATCTTAGTAAGATGATATTCAATAGTTTTCCCTGAAAGCCATACCAAATATATGCGGTTTATAAGAATCCCAAGTTTTTGACTTTGCCTGTGACATTACCACTCCGATTCAAAGGATGGCGCCAAACATGGAGAAGACAGAAAAACATAGCTACTATGCAGTACTGAGGAAATAGATTTTTTTTCTGTTGTCCTTTTCAGTATTTTTCTTTATTTCATCATCAGTGCATAAGCTACTGCACTGTCATCTTCTAAGAGATTGGAGAGTTGTCACACATCTCTGAGTGCGACAACTATTTGGCAGAAGCACAAATGTGAGCAAACATGTTGATGAGGTCAACATAGCACAAATACATGAACGTGGAAAAATATTTCAAGGCCTTCAGGAAGCATAAATTCCAAGGAAGTTTGATTTAAGGCTTATCAAGCAAGCTGAAGCTAAATAAAAACTTTAAATACTTACAGCAACATATTTATATTTATTAAAACACTACCTAATGACAATTCCTAAGTGTCATATATATACTTATATATATATATAAAGCTAAAGATAGTCAAGTATGACTTGGACCATTTTCAAATTAAATTTAGATGAGTACTGTGTTAAATTTTTAACATATCTCACAGAGAGATGAGGACTGACTAAGCTCACATAGCAACTGAAACACAATGACCACCATGGATATTGAGTAACTGGCACATAATTGACCCAAATCAAATTGTCTTTGATTTAAAATTGGATTATTCTATTGGTTATTTTGCACTCCCAGAGATGAGTTTTTATAGTGTACAACTGTTGATTCGTGTTTGTGGAGCAAAACAACTAAAGTTATGGCTTCCACTTGCTATGCCAGAGACCAGACGCGCAAGTCCCATAAACTTATTGCGACAGCTTCACACTGCAGTGCTGCCCATCAGACACCGGCTGCAAACTATGGAACATGTTCTGATCCATATCAGCACGACCAAAATAAACACTCAACTAGTTTTTGGATTTTATTCATATCCATAGTATGGGTAGGTTCCTGGTTGGGGTTAACAACTGGCTGAAAACCGAAGTTTGTGTTTATGCTCCGCGTTCGTCCCGTCCGTGCAGCGGACAGCCGGTCAGCTGCGGCGACGCACTCAGTGCAATCTGCGGGGATTAAGGCTCTGGAAGGGAGGGTCAACAACCGGCGGGATTAGCCCAACATCTGCAGCGATCGGAGAGACGCGCTCGCAGATTTAGATTACTTCGCATCCAACATGATGACGGTCCCACAACAAAGTAGACACAAACAAATGAGATCAGAACGACGGAGAATTTCAGAGAAAGGCAATCCCGCCTCTACACACAGCCAGCCTCAAGCTTTGACTGTAATCTGGGAAAACTTGAGATCATTCTCTGGCGCTGGTTTCACATGTTTGACTTTCATTTTAAGGAACGCTTGAACGCGTTTGGATGAATAATAATAATAATAATAATAATAATAATAATAATAATAATAATAATAACAAGCTTACCTGTTGTGTGTTATTTCTTCCAGGAATCACAGGCACAGAATAATCCGAAATTTGTTTCCAAACTAAATGTCACACTTGTGACGCTCCGGGTTACAGAAGAAAAAGAAGAAAAAAAAAGATAAAGAAATAATAACAGGGTCTCTATCTGGCTTGTGAGCAAAACAAGAAGAAGAAGAAAGAAAACACGCTTATGCTCCGCTTGTCTCATCAGCGTGGCCCCCTCCTGCATGAGCCGCTACTCCGCATCCATCTCCGGCTCTCTGCGTCCTTCCTTCCTCCGGGTCTCTCCCTCTCGGTGTCAGCAGCGCGGGTCGAGGGCGGTGCGCAGGCGTCTCGCGGGTTGCATATCGAAGGTGGAGGGGGGAAGTGAAGCCTCGGTGTGCCCACTCACTCAGATGCGTCAGCTCTCCCTTCCTTGACTCCCCGCTGCCCTCCCCTCTTTTGCTCCGGTCGGGACGCACGCAGGAGAAAAAGCCCGAGAAGGGAAGCGCAGAAAGCGAAAGCGATGTCTTGTGTGTCTCCCCTCCCCAGCAGCCTCCTGACTGCTCCGGCCATCCAAGCGGAACAGCCTTCCCTTTCTTTCTCCCTCCCTCCCCCTGCAAGTACTTCTCCTCCTTTCTTCTCCTCCCCTCCCTCCTTCCCTCGCTCCCTCACCTCCTCCGTCTGCTTCTGGGATGTCCTAGCTGCTCAGGATATTCATGGACCGAGTACCTGTCAGCTTGGCTGTTGCGCGGGACATTCCTGTTAGCAGCGACACAATATTTTATTCTCAAATTTGTCCCAGCAAACTTGAACGTATCAAATAAATTAATTAGCATAAACATTTGATGAGCAGGCACACCCTCAACACTAACAGGTGTTTTCTGGAAATGCTGCATGTGGCAATAACATTACAAAAGTGTGAAATCAGCCTGGTTGGAACTGAAGATGGCAGTTGTTGAACATGAGGAAATTAAGTGTACTCATGAGAAGGTATGGTGTTCTATGATTGGAGTAAAAGGCACACAAACTCCAATATTGACTTTCTAGGACTTTCAGAGACATGGCTGTCCCATTCCTCCCCAGAGGCTGTAGTGAAGATGCCTGGTTACAATGTATTCAGAAAGGACATAGAGGGTGGGAGGGGTGGGGGAGTATTAATATATGTTAGGAATACTCTAAAATGCACATTAAGTAAAAAACAAGTTAATACTGTTAATATTAATACCCATAAACATCATAAATTTATTCCACAATACCTGCATCAAAATCTTCAAAATATCATAAAAAGAAGTAAAATGTTGTTCTCAGAAGATGATATTGAACTCAACTCTCAAATATTTAACTCAAAAATTACAGAAGTTATGCAACCCTTCCTTAAAAGAAGTCAAGGAAATAAAAGGAAATACCATCTGCCTTGGCTAAATAATAACTTTAAAAAACTTCTGAAAGAAAGAGACATTTTGCTTAAAACCTCTACAAAATCTGGATTAACTATTGACAGGCAAAGATTTACTTCCATGAGGAATAAAACAACTAATGCATTGCGTAAAGCCAAAGACAAATTTATTTTTCGATGTTATCAAAAGTGCAAATGGAAATGGCAAAATATAAGCAAACTGATACGTAAGGAACATAAAACGGTCAATAACAGTCTGGAAATAAAAGTGAATAATAAGTTGCTGACTAATCCAAAAGAAATAGCAACTGAATTCAATAACTTTTTTATTAATTCTGTTAATCAAATAACACAGATGTTCACTCAGTCAGATATACCTTGTCAGTCTACTGATCTCAGACAACCTAGGTTTAACTTAGAGCAAATCACAGAGCTTGAAGTTGCTAGCATAATTAAATCAATGAGGGCCTCGAAAGCCAAAGATGTATATGGGCTTGATACACAATTTTTAAAAAAATTATAAACACACTAGTGTGCCCAATAACATATCTGATAAATGCATCCATCAGAATGGCAACAGTTCCATCAGGTTGGAAGGTGGCTACAGTCTCACCATTTTTTAAATCAGGAGACAAAACAAATATCTCTAACTATCGTCCAATGAGCATCTTTCCTGTTGTCTCCAAGGTAGCAGAAAAATGGATTTTGAAGCTGCTGAATAAACATCTCAGCTACCATTCTCTTCTGCACCCCATGCAGTTTGGGTTCCGTCAGTACCATTCTACAGAGACAGCAAATTGTGTCTTTGTAGAAACAGTGAAATCTCTGCTTGATAAAACCACCTGCGTTGGTGCAGTCTTTTTGGACTTAAAGACAGCTTTCGATACAGTTAACCATCAGGCCCTTACAGAAAAACAACATTTGGGCAAATGGTTCTATCAGTCAGAAGGAGTCACTTCTGGAACAGTGTGCCGGCTAGGATCAGAGAGTATTTCACCAATAGCGTTTTTAAAAAACACCTGAAATTGTTTATTAAAACTTCCCAGACATGTCATCATTTTAACTAACTTTTTACTGTGTTTTTTTTTTGTAAATGTTTGTTAAATGTTTGTCAATTCTTGATTGTATGTTTATAATGTCTTTTTGTTGTTTGGGTCTCCTTGTCTAGGACTACAGATGGAAATTAGAAATTATGCTATAATCTGGCTCATTTACAGTCTATACAGTAGTGTTGATTGTTCATTAATCTGCACTGTCCTTAATAAAGATTAAAGATGAAAGATTAAAGATTAAAACCCTTGAAGTATGAAAAGAGTTGAAGTATGTTTTGGTAAAACATAGAAAACAAATTTGTGCAAAACAATAGAAAGAAAAAAACAACAAAAGCACCTAAAGATCAAAGGTTTGATGATATAGCTATCAAATTAAAATAAAAAGTATCAGTATTGGTGATACTGGCTCTGTATGTACTTGGTATTTGATCAATATCAAAAGTATTGTCATATTACACAAATAACTATGACATGAAGATTTCAACAGTCAGAGCAGTTTTTAAAGTATCTCTATGAGATCATTTTTTTTCACACATGATTTGCCAATTTACTGACTGCAGTATTTACATGTGATTCATGTAAACCTGCTGTCACTCTGTTTCCATCAGTCTCTTGAATAAATAAAGTCCAGAAATCTCTCCAATCTAAACCGTACTATTTTCAACTCGCAGCTGGCATTTACACCGATATCACTGGTTTCTCAAAACAATTATGGCACTGGGAGGTTTTTCCTCACGAACCATAATGCACACCTTTTCACCTCCATATTTACTCCTGCTGGCATTTATACTGATATAATCAGACAGTTAGTGAACTGCCATTTCCTAATCTCAGGTTTGGCATTTTAACCGTGCTTGCTAAAGTAAGCACAGTGAGGCAAAGATGTGGGAGGGTGATAGTAAAACATGAACATATGTTTATTATGACTAAAATAATTATAAAAAATATATTTCCAGCACCACAACTGGGAATGAGCTGTTTCAGTCTCAAGCTAGTCTCTTATGACATAATCAGAACCTTTCTGGTGTAAATTTCTTTCTGATATACTTTTCTACTTATATTTGTAGAAAAAAAGATACTTAATTACAAATTAATACCACAAACAAACCTCGCTTCTCCATTCAGCAGAAGTTGAACAAAAGCCGGCGTGGCAGTAGTAGAGGGGTAAAGAGTGTGACCCGTGTCGACCCGTGTCCAGAGGCCTCGCTCCTCTAAGTGACCATCCTGGTTTGAGTCCCGGCCTGACAACCTTTGCTGGATCTCTTCCCTCTCACAACTTGCTTTTTTGTCTATTCACCATCATATAAAGACCACTAGAGCCAAAAAAGAGAAAAAAATGTTGCAACGACTAGGTTAATTACATGGGAATAACTTGATTGTAAGAAGCTGTGGCTATAAGGTTTTTTTGTAGTTTTTTTCTCCCATGTCACCAGAAGGGCTCTGTATTGTCTTCATCCAATCTGACTCAGCCGGAACTATTTTGCAAAGAAGAGAGAACCAAAATGTCACTGGATATGCAAAGCTGAAAGAGCCACACCCCAACAGACTTCCTGCTGTTCATCAAGAATAAATACTTTTACAAGATCATTTAATTAGAAACTATAAGAACATTGTGATTCATAGCTTATTCACTTAAACTCACCTGTTATGTGTAATGTGAATTACATTTTTCTGAAACAGAAACATTTGCTTTTTGATTTTCAAAAGAAGATCTGGAATTCTTTTATATTACATTTCATATTTTGGAAGCTTGATAAATCATTTCCTTTAACATGGCACCCATTTATAAGTTCATCTAGGATTTCATAAGTATTTATATTCCTTTCCTGCTGCATTTTTTTATGTTAATCAAAGTTATCTTTTTGGCGGTTCCAACAACCATGTTGTGTTTTAGAACAGCTCTCAAATGTGAAGTTCAGTTTGATATTGCTTTTATTTTGCAACCCATCAAGGCTCCGCATGCTTCACCGTTACAACACACACATGCACATGCACACACACGCACATACACTCGCACACACATTGTAACACACAAGTCTTTTTCTAGGTCATACAACAACAAACGCCCTCACAGATATGAGGTAAGTGGGGCAAAACTTAATCAAAATGAATCCGGCTCCTGGCTGATTTGTGTTTCTTAAAACACGCTAAAGACAGAACGAAGGAGAACAAGGAAAAAGTTTTTTTGAAAGAAACTTTTCCGAAAAGTTCTCCAAAGAAGAATAACATTTTCTACATGATCTCTGATGAGTTCAGATTCACGAAGGTGCTTCTCCCAGCAGGAGCGTTCCAAGCATCCTCCTTGAGAAAACTTGGAGACCACCCACGGGTCTAAGAAATGGATTTGCATTTGGTTCTTTGAGGTGGGAGCACAGATATTCATACTAATATATTAATATTACAACACATGTAAAGTACATAGCACATGTATTTGAAGTAAAACAAAGTTACTACAATATATATGCTGTAACATTAATAGAAATATATTTTTAATGAAGATGAATAAATGAATATAGACAATGGATTCAAGTATCAATGAAACAATTAGACTAAAAGGAAAACTCTCACATTCCATTGCAAGTGTACCAGTTAACATAAAAACTTCACTTTAAAAACCAGTCAGACTAACAGACACAACGAAAACAGCCAAATATCACTCTGTGAAAATAACACAAACACAGTTCAAATTAGCACGTTAAATCCAGAACCTTTTTCTACGCTGGGCTTCATCCAGAACGTCTGGGAGCTCAGCTGTTGAGAAACGATTTCTTCGTGGAGGCGTGAAGTTTTTAAACTTTACCTGCTACTGTGTGCCTGTGACATATGTAATGCGCCGAGTCAAAGCTATGAAGCTGACCAGAAATTGCCTGCGCTGTTAATAACCATCAGAGACCGCTGTTTGATGTTTATTAAATATCTGGAAGAGTGACCAACACAAAGTGAACGACATCATTCACTTCCTCAATGAATGAAGTGCCTGTTGCTAACTCTGCAGGCAGAATATACTTCTGAAACAGCACAGAAAATCCACCTCATTGTTCACAACTTCACCTTCTGTTTCCTGATTGGCCAAGTAGAAAATATACCATAGGAATCCA